CATCAACAGTCAGCCCCTCCACTGTCTTGAGCAGGATCTTGACAACATACTCGCGCCTGTTGTAGTTGTCGTTGTGCAGCATCACCTTGTAGATGGGCGGCTTCTTCTTGCTGCTCTCCGTCCTGCAAGCACACGATAAAAACAGCACAGGCACAATGATGAGATGAGTTCAGCATGGTCAAATCGGCAGCACAACGTAGAAGGGTAGCCTCTGCTTGCTGCTGTCAGTCCTGCAGGCTGCATCCGCGCAGTGACAGCAAGCGTGGCCGGTACACGCAGAAAGTAGGGGAAGGCAACACGCGCTGCCAGGAATAATTTTACGATCAAAACCCGTAGCTGAAAGTGTGCGAATGTGCTGACAGTAAACTTGCACAGCAGTGAGTCATGGCAGTGAATCACTAGTGCAGATTGTGAGCAGATGCCTGCTGCTGAGCAGCACGACAGCTGCGCAAGCGGCTGTCAGGGCAACAGCAGCTGCCATACTTGGCATGGGGTGCCAAGCTGCTGACAATGAGAACAAGATCTGAGTGTGCTGCCTGTCCAAGGAAGGACCGACCGCACTGCTGTGTGCAGTAAGTGCTCACCCCTTTTCGATGTTTGGGGTGGTGATAGTGGGGTTGTCCAGCAGCCCTCCCTTGCCAGCAGCAACGACATGAAGCTGCCTCCTGCTGCCTGCAGCCATGACGAAAGCACACAAACCGTCAGCACATCCAGCACACCACCTGAGCTACTGCTGTGTCAGCCACACTCCTGCTGCCTGCAGACATGCAGCGCGCTGTGGGAAGCTACCGCCCTGTAGAGCTTTCTACAATGATGAATCGCCTGCTCCCGCTGCTCGCAGTAGCCGAACATGCAGCACGCTGCAGAATTCCGAGTTCGAGGCAAGCAGCCCACCCCGCCATTGCTCAAACATGGCTCACCTGCAGGCTGCACAAGCCTTGTGGTTGCAAATGGTGCCCTAGAGAACGCCTTCACACGCGCCTGTAAAGCCAAACACGGCAGGTTAAGTTTTGTGTGCGAGCAGCCCTCTACACCGAGGCACTCCTAAGCAGGCAGGCACTCACCCTGCTGCGGGTGCAGTTGCATGCGCTGGAAACACCCGAGGAAGCACTTTGAAGCAACATGTTGGCTCGAAATTTCGGCAACACCCCAATGAGCTAGGAACAGCACAGGCTGGACCTTCCGGCAGTGATCAAGCGTACTAAGATGAAGGGCGTTTGTGTACCAGGGTTAACATCTGGTTAACGAGGGTTGATAAGTACCGGACCGGCAACTTGTTACGGCAGAGTGTCAGTGGTGGGCCAGGGTCTGTGCTCGCTGCATGTTAGCTGTGCTCTCGACTGTGTGCAGTGTGATGATTCTTGTTCAAGTGCTCTGGAGTTTAGGTACTTGCCGCTGCATCTGCACAAGCTTGGACCTTCACGTGTGAACTTTTCGTTTCATCTCACTACAAGCAGCACAGCAGCATGGCAGACCATGAAGAAGACGAATTCATGTCGGGCAGTTCAGAAGAGGAGGATGATCAGTTTGAGGATGCAGCGCCATGCAGCCCAGACAACGACCCCACCAAGTGAGCTCTGCTGTGCTGCATCATCATGCAACAGCTCAGCCGTGTTGACGGCAGCTGATGCTTGCAGATGGAACGGATGGCGTTGAGAGTACTCAGATGGTCAATTGCATATCCACTACAGCTGTCATCGCTAGTCTGGCTGTAGCACTCTGTACCAGCAGTTGATGGCACCGCCTGTTGCAGCTCATGCACATCCTGTGTGAGACACGTCTCCAATCAGCAGCGATACATTGGATCTGTTTCTGTTCCACGTGCTGCTGCAACCCAGCAGAGTGTCCCAGGGTTTCATGCCTGCTGCTTCGCAGAAACACGGGCTGCATGCAGCATTCACCAGCATCTTCTCCCCTAACACGTGCTGAACTGCTGTATTTTATATCCCGCTGTGACCTACTATGTTATGTTGCCTGCTGCTCCCTGCAGGGACAAGGGTTGCATGGAGCACGGCTGCGACCACTACAAGCGCCGCTGCAAGCTTGTGGCGCCATGCTGCGGCGAAGTGTTCTGGTGCAGGCACTGCCACAACCAGGTCAAGGACGACAGCGAGCAGGTATTATTATTACTATCATTGTTACATTACTCATGAGGACGTGCCTTTGCGTGTCCTGCAACAGCTGCAGCACGTGCAGTTCGCAAAAGCCAGCAGAGCAGCGTCAACAGCCGATTATCTGATGTTGAGGCAAGTCATCGCACGCTGCAGTTGCAACACATGCCATGTCATGTGTCATTGCCCTCAGCAAAGCAGCTGCTGTGCACAAGGAGCTCGGCAGCACTCCCGGCACAAACAATTGGACGCGCCGTTACTGCTGCTGCTCCTGCTGATGCTGCTTGCAGGACGCAGCCAAGCGCCACACGATGGACCGCAAGCAGGTCCGCGAAGTGGTCTGCGCGCTGTGCGACACTCGGCAGCCAGTAGCAGCATCCTGCAGCAGCTGCGGCGTAGGGTTTGGGCGCTACGTGTGCCTGCAGTGCAACTTCTTTGATGACACGGTCAGCAAAGAGCAGTTTCACTGTGATGAGTGCGGCATTTGCCGCGTGGGAGGCAGGGCCAACTTCTTCCACTGCAGCACGTGCAACTGCTGCTACAGCACGTCGCTGCAGGGCAGCCACATCTGTGTCAGCAACAGCATGCACCAGGTGCGCGCAGGCCTGGGTGCATTTGCGGCTTATGAATTGGTTGCTGGCATGTCTGGTTGTGTGTTCAGCGGGCAATGCAAGTGCTTCAGAACATGTCATGTCATGTCAAGACAGTATGCAATGAGTCATGCAGATCAACAACATGCTTACAATAGCAACGGCATCCACGAGCTCGGCCATGCTGCACACGGTGTCGGCACCACATGTTATGCTGTTTGTTGCTGGAGTACAGCAGCAGCAGCTTGCGCTAGGAAGGTGTTTGGGGCACCCCCATCAGCAGACGCAAGCAGCAGCACTGGTACATGTGCCTCTCACATGCATGCAGGTCCTCAGGCATGCGGCCAGCAACATCAGCATGTTGACTGTCTCTGACTTTTGCCTGCTGCTGCTGCCCTCTTGTTTGCCTGCTGTGTTGGCACCTGCTCCGTCTGCATGTGCATATGCGGTCTGGCGCTGGCGTCACAGAACTGCCCGGTGTGCTGCGAGTTCCTGTTTGACTCGATACGGCCCATCGCAGTGCTGCCCTGCGGGCACACCATCCACCAGGTGCGGCGCTAGCACTTTCCTGCAAGCCACGGCACTTTCCTGCAAGCAACTTTCTCCTGCAAGGCTGTGCCATGCAGCCTGCACATCAGCGCGCAGTGTGCGGCATGTGCGCTACGTCAGCACCCGCCGCAGCACTGCAGATTTTGCAAAGCGCTGTGCATGCGGTGCATGTTTGCACTCATGCAAGAGCACAGCATGGCTTGCGCAGCCGTTGCCGTTGCCAAATTTTTATTCTTTCTGCTGGCCTGTGCTGCTTGCCGCTCTAGCGCTGCCATGGCATGCCTGCAAGGCTGTGTGATGCAGCCTGCACATCAGTGCGCCGTGTGCCGCATGTGGGCTACGTCAGCAATTGCCGCAGCACTGCAGATTATGCACAGCGCATGTGCATGCGGTGCATGTTTGCACTCATGCATGGCTTGCGCAGCCGCTGCCGTTGCCGAAGTTTTTTTATTCTGTTTGCCTGTGCTGCTTGCCGCTCTAGCGCTGCCATGGCATAACGTGCAATAACATGCCTGCCCGCAGCAACGCCGCCGCGAGATGATGAGCCACAACCTGCCACAACACAAACCTGTCTGTCTCTGCTGCTGCTGCTGCTGCTGCTGCTGCTGCTGCTGCTGCTGCTGCTGCTGCTGCTGCACCAGGAGTGCCACAGGGAGATGATGAGCCACAACCCGCCACAACACAATTCTGTCCGCCTCTGCTGCTGCTGCTGCTGCTGCTGCTGCTGCTGCTGCTGCTGCTGCTGCTGCTGCTGCTGCTGCGACCGCACCAGGAGTGCCACCGTGAGATGATGAGCCACAACACCATCACCTGCCCGCTGTGCCTCAAGTGCATCCTGTCGCAAGGTGATGCGCAGCGCTACTGGGCGCTGCTGGACCAGCAGGTGAGGGCGGCTGGATTGTTCATTGTGACGATGCGGGTTGCTTATGCCGTCTCATCATCACGCACAGCGCTACTGGGGGCTGCTGGACCAGCAGGTGAGGGCGGCTGAATGTTCATTGTGACGATGCGGGTTGGTTATGCTGTCGCAGCGTCACGAACAGTGCTACTGGGCCCTGCTGGACCAGCAGGTGGGGGTGGCTGGATGGTTTGTTTAATTCCATGGTATGTGTATGAAGATGCTGTGTTTTCGCCACGTTTTATTCACACGCAGCGCTACTGGGACCTGCTGGACCAGCAGGTGAGGGTGGCTTGCTGTTTTGCTTAAATTCATGGTATGAAGTTGCTGTCTTTTCGCCACGATGTATTCACACGCAGCGCTACTGGGCTCTGCTGTGCTGGACCAGCAGGTGATCTTTCAAGAGCTGTTTTTGTGCCATCATGTGTCCACGCGCGGCGCTACTGGGCGCTGCTGGACCAGCAGGTGGGGCTGGCTGGATGTTTGTTTTATATCCATTGTATGAAGATGCTGTGCTTTCGCCACGTTTTATTCACACGCAGCGCTAGTGGGCCCTGCTGGACCAGCAGGTGATTGTTCAAGAGCTGTTTTGTGCCTTCATGTGTCCACGCGCGGCGATAGTGGGGCGCTGTTGGACCAGCAGCTGAGCGCGGCTGGCCTATTCTCAATTCTCAACGCATTCAAGCAAAATTGTTCAGTGAATTTGTCATGTCTTTGGCTATTGTTCAAATCCGCCCTATAGAAGAGGGGTTACACGGTGTGCACAGGCAACTACGTCAAATCCGCCCTGGCAGCCCAGGATAGGTTGCTCGTTGGCAGTCTTATGTTGGGCAGGCGGCCACATGTGCATGCTACGCTCACACCACCACGAAAACCCGATCCCATCAGACCTCGGCAGTTAAGCGTGGTTGGGCTCGAGCAGTACCAGGTTGAGGGATCGCCTGGGAACTCCAAGTGGCGTAGTGTTTTGGTAGCTGCTGCTGCTGCTGGGAAGATGGGCTGGCAGCAGTGCAGGGTTTGACAGCAGCATGCTGCTGAGGTTGCTACTGGGCAGGCCTGTGCAAAGAGCGGGCACCTAGACTAGGCGGTGCCCTGCCGAGGTTCTGCAGATGCAAAAGCCCAGGTTGTGGGGTTTGTGTTGTTGGGTGGTTGGCGCTGGACACGGTTGGAGAAGAGCATAGTCACATGTGGTCTGCCTGCGCAGGCATGCATGCGTTCCTTTACCGGTACGGATGCAGGCTACTGGCTTCCTGGGCGTCAGCCACCTGGCTTACAGGCTGCTGCCACTACTCCGCTCATGAGCGTGATAATAATTGTACTCAGTCTTTCTTTTGCACTCACTTGTGGCTGCTCTGTGCCGCCCCTGCTGCTGCCGCCCCTGCTGCTGCTGCTGCTGCTGCCAGGTGCGCGACACGCCAATGCCTGAGGAGTACAAGCATGTGCAGGTGAGCAGCATTATCGCAGAGCAGTGGAGCATAGTGTTGTAGATTTTGTGTGAGGTTGATTGCTGAAGTGTGCAAGCATGTGCAGGTGGAGCAGCACCATTGCAGGGCAGGGCAACAGAGTGTGGGTGAGTTGTGTGAGGTTGCATTGCTGGAGAGTACAAGCATGTGCAGGTGAGCAGCATTATCACAGGGCAGGGAAACAGAGTATGGGTGAGGGTGTTTGTATGAGCTGAATGGCTGAAGAGTACAAGCATGTGCAGGTGAGCAGCATCATTGCAGGGCAGGGCAACAGAGTGTGGGTGAGGGTGTTTGTATGAGCTGATTTGCTGAAGAGTACAAGCATGTGCAGGTGAGCAGCATTATTGGGCAGGGCAACAGAGTGTGGGTGAGTTGTGTGAGCTTGATCGCTGAAGAGTATAAGCATGTGCAGGTGAGCAGCAGCGATTCACGGCAGGGGAGCCCAGCGCGGTGGTCTGTGTGTCGACTGTGCTGTTCAAAGCTGCTTACTGTTGCTCTGTACTGCTGTGTGCTGCTGATAGTTTTGTCGCAAACCACACATTATGACTGTGGGACACAACAATGCACACACTCCAACATTGACATCTTTTGTTCAAGCCTCCCACATCTTCATGTATTATGAGCAGGACGTTAGACGGTCGGCATTGCCGGCGCTGCAACAGGCATTGATTTCGTTGTGTGATGTTGTGTGTGTGACGCAGGTCAATTTACTGTGTAACGAGTGCAGCGCGCGCTCAGATGTGCTCTTCCATGTGCCAGCGCTGCAACAAGACTCCCTGAATTGTGTTGTATGGTGCTGTGTGTGTGACGCAGGTCAATATACTGTGCAACGACTGCAGCGCGCGCTGAGATGTGCTCTTCCATGTGCCAGCGCTGCAACAAGACTCCCTGAGTTGTGTTGTGTGGTGCTGTGCGTGTGACGCAGGTTAACATACTGTGCAACGACTGCAGCGCGCGTTCAGATGTGCTATTCCATGTGGTCGGTCACAAGTGCAGCGGCTGCGGCGGCTATAACACACGTAGGATAGGCGTGCAGGAGCCAGCATCAGCAGCAGCAGCAGCAGCACCGCCGGCAGCACCGCCCGCGGCCAGCTGATGGCGCGTGCGACTGCTGCTGCTGCTGCTTGTGGCGATGCTGGTGCCGCGGCTGCTGCAGTGGTGCCGCCGCTAGCGGGCCTGCTGCGGCAGCAGCAGCTGCTGCTGCCGAATACATGATGTTGCAGCAGCCGGAGCTGCTACAGAGGGTGTGAATTGAAATGATGCAGGGTTGGGGAGTTTTTTTAGCAGATCTCAGCCGCAGTAAGGCAGCAGTGTGTTCTGCGGCGGCTGCTGGTGTGTGCTGCGGCAAGCTTCGCTCCAGCAATACTAGTACGGGGTGTACGCAGAAATGTTATAAGTGCTGCTGTACAGATGGGTGACTTGCAAGAGCTGCAGACACTGTTCGAGACTGGCAGTTTTTCCGCAGCATTGTTGAAAACGTGTTTGCTGCCTGCATGTGCCATGCAGCAGGATGATCTGAAGCATTCATGATGTGTGCTTTGCACCTCTACACACGCCTCTACTGCCAGTTGCTGGCGGCTGAGTAGCAGCATAGCAACACGACTTGGTGCATTCATTTCTGTAATTTTTGCTGTGCACGTAGTGGGGCCATTGGCAGCAGGTGCTGCTTTCACTGCCAGGCATGCTTTTATGCTTAGGCTGCAGCTGCCTGCCAGTGTTGTTGCTGCTGCCAGTGGGGGTGTGCTGGGCAAGCGCTTGTGTTGTTTGCTGCTCAGCATGATCATGATGCAGACACCGGCTCGCCTTGGTATTTCCTTGTTCCTTTTTGGGTGCTGCAAGTGTGCATGCTGTGTTGATGTGCTTCCTGCAAGTCCCTTTGCCACTTGTGAACTGGACACGAGCGCTGCTTACAGCAGTGGTCACTGTCAGGCTGACTATAATAAAGCGGGAAAGCTGGGTTGCATGGCCTAGATGATTCCGTAGAAAATCCTAAATCATTGAGGTGCTTTGCTGTTGGTGGGCTTGCTGGTGATTTCGTCATACAGGCAGCACTGGCCAGTCGGGGTTAGCAGCCCGGCTGTTGACAAATGCACGAGCAGCTGTCATGTCCAGCTACCGAGCGGCTGTGTCAAAGTAGAGGGTATATAATTACAAGCTGCACAGACGAAGTTGATATGCGAAGGCAGCAAAAGGCTCCTGGACGGCCGCAACGTTTCAGATACGAAACAGGTTGCAACTCCCGCTCCAGCGAACAGACGTGCCGCTCAACCCGAACCTGCTTCCAACTAGCATTGGACAGGTGAGAAATCATTGATTTATGTCAAAACAACTGGCTGTGCGTGCAGCAGGCTAGCGGCAAGCAGCTAAACTTGCATCCCGCCAAGTTGCCCCGCGCACAGCAGACTGGCCTGCACCGTGATGCTTGCGGTGTGAACCCCCAGAACTAACATTATCTTCTTTATGTTTTTGCAGATACGTCGGTGTAAACAATATGAGGGCAGCCAGCCTGCTGCTCCTGGCCTTGGTGGCAGCAGCTGCCCTGCAAGCAGCAGCACAGCTCCCACGCCTTCAGCATCCAGAGCTGTCCTTTGCAATGGATCAACCAGTTGACGACACAGCATTGCCAGATATAAAGGCTCTCATTTCTGGTTTACCACCAACACGCAACACAGGCAGCAGTCGCACACAGGAGGGCAGTCCAGGACCTGACAGCAGAAGTGGCAGCCGCAGCGGCCAGCAGCAGCAGCAGCAGGCTGGCAGCAAGTCGGGACGCACCCTGCTGCAGATGCGCAGCCAGCAGCAGCAGCAGCAGCTCCAAGCTAACGGCTCTATGGCCAACAGTGCTACCGCAGCATTCAGCAGCAGCAGGGCACAAGGTGTCGGTCACCCTGCAGGAGGTGCCATGTCAGGCCAGGTGCCACCACACGGCAACTTCACACCAAGACGCATGCCATCTGCCGGCATTTTCACAGCAGGCCAGGTGACACCACACGGCAAATTCACACCAGGCCAGATCCCTTCTGCCAAGAACTTTACACCAGGCCAGGTGCTGCCTCCCCGCAACTTCACACCAGGCCAGGTGCCACCTGCCCGCAACTTCACACCAGGCCAGGTGACACCTGCCCGCAACTTCACACCAGGCCAGGTGACATCTTCCCAAAAGTCCACCCCAGGCCAGATGCAACCTCCCCGCAACTTCACACCAGGCCAGATGCCACCTGCCCGCAACTTCACACCTGGCCAGGTGCCACCTGCGCGCAACTTCACACCAGTCCAGATGCAACCTCCCCGCAACTTCACACCAGGCCAGGTGCCACTTCCCCGGAACTTCACACCAGGCCAGCTGCCACCTCCCCAAAAGTCCACCTCAGGCCAGGTGCCACCTCCCCTAAAGTCCACCCCAGGCCAGCTGGCACCACATGTTTATGGCAACCTCACAGAAGGCCAGATGCCACTGCATGGCAACTCTTCCCACAATGTGTCTGCCCCACTGGGGCTGGCAGGCATGCAGCTTCCGGGGCCTGGCAGTGTCCCTGCTGGCAGCCAACGTGCCAGCGCTACTGGCCAGCTTTCAACAGGCAGCAGCTTCCCCAAACGCAGCCTGCTGTAGCAGCACCAGGTGATGCACATGTGTACAGCCCACAGCAGCAACACCGGGGTGTTGATCAACGACAGTTGGTGTATGATGCCAGGGTGTTTTCATTCACGGGAAATTGTACAAAAGTGATCTGCAAGCAATCAATGCATGTGCATATTGTGGCGCTGAGACGTGCCCCATGGACATCAAGCTTGTTTTGGTGATGTCAGCTGATGCTTGCAGTTGAGCTGCACTACTGCATTACAGTCACACAGACGCCGTCTGAGGACCGAGTCTGAGGCCAAAGGCCTAGGTTGTGCGTTGTATGGCCAGTCACATGCACTTCAAGACAGTAACAATTATTTGAGCAAAGTGTTGACAGACGCATATGTTATGTAATGCATCACAGGACTTGGCATGCCGTACGTACCACAGCAACCCCGTTGTGCACAACTGTGGATAGTACTGGTGGTGGCACTGTGCAGCCTACCAGGCACATTAGAAGTGTCTATGGCTGCAGTGTGTGTACACACATATCAGTGGGACATCGCTGCTGAAGTGACTCTCTGCAGCATGTGTAACTGACCACTGCAACTTCAGAATTCAAGAGAGAGGCAAAGTTACATGTGGGTCCCTGGAACCATCTTAGATGGTATGAGCCACAAAAGGATGACCACATGGTCTGAGACCAGAAAGTAAGAGGGCGGACACCATACTATGTTTTAGTAAAACACGATGCACACTCTTGCACGCCAAACTCTGTCATATGTACAATCCAGAAAGGTTGAGTGCTAACAGGTGTACACACGATCTGCTCATTTGATCAGGCCCATTGAGCCAGCATCTCTACTCTTAAGCAGCAGATCTAATCCAGAGCAGCATAAACACGCTGGCAACCAGCCTTGTTGCCTTCACATCACACT